CCATAATGCTTATACTACGTCTCACTTATCCCGCCATTGAAGAACTGCAATTTCAAGGGCCGCCGCATCTCAGACTCCTCTTCTGTAATAATTTTCATCATTGGATTCCCAAAGGAATCTGAGCTCTGTGTGAAACGAGCTCTGTGTAACAAAGAAGAATGAAACAGCCATTTAAACAGCTGTTAGCATTAGCGCTGGCTATAGTTAACAGCTGTTTACAGAAACTTGTCTGATTGCGGTCACAGTGCAGGTAACTGACAAAATGAAAAGCTAACAACCTTACATGAAGTCAGTCAGGAGGAACTTCCAATAAACCATCTTGTGTTTTGATTTCTTGTCCATTAACGCAGCGCTGTTGACCGTTAAAAATGCTGCCGTTTGAGATGATCACGTGATGCACATCTGCGTTTTGATTGGCTGAGTTTCAGATGGGTTACAGTTTATATTATGCAACTTAAGTGCAATTTAGTTTCATGCTTCATCAGAAAAGCTAAACCTCTGCTGCACAGGGAAGTGGCCATTTGATTTATGTAGGCTTCGATGAGGGCAGCTGGGTTAAAGTGGCGTCCGTGCACATGAGGGAATACATTATTCATGCTGAAGTGATGTCAGCGCACATTAAAGGGGGATTCCACCAATATTTTCAAAATTTTTGCATAAATCAGTCCTTGAGCTGTAGACAGTCATTCAGAGTGGTTTAACGTTCATTGTGGAGAAACTTACAGATTCTGATTTCTTTACAGTGGTGGTGATAGGGACCAGGGGTTGCGATGTCTACAACACAAATATAGCCATTTTATTTACTATCCAAAACCATCAGTGAACCTTCACGTGTCTTCTGAGTTTTATATGATATTGATAATGGTAAAAAAAGTCATAAATCTGAAAAAGCACGTTTTCTTTGGAGACTATTTTGCCTCACAATACACTTCATATACCCTTCCGCCAAGAACTGGATTCAAATAAATGGATTCAAACACATTATAAGTGAAAAACGTAATCACAGAACTATCATAAAATAATGTGTCAGACATATTTATTTCGTGCAATAGCTTTTTGTGAGGGGGCTTTTAGAGGCATTAAACTCTTCAGACATCTGGTTCTCATCACCGCCACTGTGAACAATTCTGACTTGGTAAGTTTCTCTAAAGGAGAGCATTTTACACCAAACCACTCTGAATGACTCTTTAAATATCTCAACCGTTTAATTATGTAGAATTTTGAAAAATCGGTGGAGTTGCCCTTTCAACCAGCGCGTATGAAAAGGAGGGTGTTCAATGCCAAACAGCGCCCAAAGACAGGTAGGAAAATGTGTACAAAAAGATTCTTCTGTGATTGGGCCACCGGAACCTCCCTTTCAGCTAAAATAACACGTCACACAGAGACAGAAACAGAGACAAAGCCGCCCCCCACACAAAGCCCGTTTTTTGCCCCCGTGTGGAGCGCAGTGTTCTTCACATTCCGTACACACGACAGGTGCCATCATCCGCTCTGGGGCGGGGCTTACAGCATGCAACCGCTCCCCTCTCATTACCATACTGAACTCGGAGGCGTGGCTTAGCGCGCACACATCTCCCTCACTACAGTGAGCGCTTGGGGGCGTCGCAATTAGCAAACATACACTCGCACATCAGCGCGGACCTCTGAACAGTGTGAGGGCTTGGGGCGTGTTTTAACACACACACACACACACACAATCTTGTTTCTGTGCATTGCGGGGCTATTACATAGACCTCCATTCATTTCTTGGAGACTTACCTAAACCTTAACCAGAACTACTACTAGCCTAATCCTTATCCTAACCCTAATCTTAACCTTACCCTAACCTAAAAATTGAGTCATTTATGTTGTGGGGACTAGCTTGTGGTCCCCACAAAGAAGAAAGGTCCCCACAACATGGATCGGTTTCGGTCCCCACAATGCGACATATACCTGGTCAAAACACTCATCTCTCACTACAATGAGCTGCCTTAGGGGGGCGTGGCTTAGGCCACACACGAGAGCCTGAATCAGCTCAACATCACCCAAAGTGCAGCTACCCAAGGGTGATAATAATAAGTCATACTGCGCTGTTCTCACACTGTGTGGTCCTTATATAGCGTGTTCTTAGCCTTCACCTGTTTAATAGAACTCATAGAACATATTACATATAGCATACAAATATATATTTTGGCCAAACAAATGAAATAGAAACATCCTTTTGGCTGCCCCCAAATTGTATTCTCCTGAATTGATTCATGAATCAAGTAACTAGCATCTATTTTCTTGTGAGTTTGGGTTTTGTGGATCTTGGTTCTAGTGCTGTCATCAAGTCCTCCTCAGAACTTCCTACTTATGACTTCAGAGGTGACATTTGTTTAAGTGGCAGTGGTTGGAATCAATGTGGATGTGCTGGGAATTATGCTTTTTGTTTACTTTTGTTTTTCTGTTGTCAAAGAGAATAAGTTTGTTTTATGTTACTGAAACAAAACAGAGAATGCGCATTAGACTCATTAGACTAGAGTCCTGTTCGTTTATTCAGGTAGAGGTATCGCATAGCATATGCTCATATCAGTTTTTTGTGTGGATGAGAATAAGACATTAAAAAAATAGGCTGCAGTGTGCAATTTCAGCCCTGCGATAGACTGGTGACCTGTCCAGGGTGTATCCTGCATTCCGCCACCCAGTGACCGCTGGGATAGGCTCCAGCACCCCCCCATGACCCAGAAGGATACGTGGCTTAGAAAAATGCTGCTGTAGGAACAAAACTTTGTATGTCCATGTCTGATGTTTTTCAGTTTCTGACATAATTTGAAAATGTCTGTTGTCCTGTACATTGTGTGTAAATTTCATGATGAATAGAGCAAAAGAAGCAGCCCAGAATTACTTGGAAAAATGTCTGGTTCCATTGAATTACATTAAAAGTAAAGTATGTTTTTTCCTTCTACTGTAAAGTTATCATTTTGGAGATACGAGGTTTTGACCTGACAACAGCAAAATGTGTGTGTGTGCGTGCAATAACAGCAGCTACCAATATTTTGTTGTTGACACTCAACTCAAAAATAAGTTTTCCTCTCTAGTAATCACGGTCTTTGTGCTAGGCAAAGGTGGGCCGCCGCCTAGAGACCCAATGAGCCAAGAGCCCCATGAAAATACTAATTACATATACCGTATGTGTTGCTGTTAAATAGACTAGTGTTGTTGTATATGTAGTGTATGTTGTTTACGATTGTCCAGATTATTTTAGGTAATTTCAATACAGCCCCACCCCCTGGTCATGGTTAAAATGGACTATTCCATGTGATGTGACATCACACCTGCGTAAAGACAAGATCTTACATATGTGAGTAATGGGATTACATTCATTATTAATCTCATAATTCATTACTTCACTTCTATGTTCTTCTGAACCAAATTACCTCAATATTTTGGCAGATAATTTTGCTTGCCCATCTGCCAAATTGTCTGCCAATATAGAGAGATAATCTTATAAAACCCTTATAACTATCTCAAAATGAGAATTGTTAGATATATCGACTAGATTTAAGATATTTTCACTTGGCAAGATATCATTTGTTGAGGTGTAGTGGGAGCTCAGCGCCTGAACTAATGTAAAAATGTTCATCCAGAGGGCCCATTCCTGTCTTTTACCTAGAGCCCCCGCCTCCAGAATCACTAAATCCACCCCTGCTAGTAATTATAACATTATGTTGGTGTTCATGAGAGCTCATCTTGTAAATATGATATTTTAAACATGACTTGAAGGCAGCTTCTGTCAACACGAGTGGGTGACTCCAGCATGCCAGATTAAATCTGGTTCAGGGTGAAGAAAATAGACAGAACGAATGAAGTAAAGAGAAAAACTAAAGCTGGAGGAAATGCATGGTACAGTCTGTTAGAACCTGTGAGAATCTGAACCCAGTCCAGTCTTGTTGGGTTTAAACAAATATTTCTAAACTCCTAAAAAAGACGGTTCTTTAAGGGTTCTTTAGTAAAAGGAATGGTTCTATATAGAACCATGAGTTATACATAGAATCATTTCATGCTTACATGTTTCTTTGCATGGTGAAATTGTTCTTTAGATTCATGGGGAATGTGCTGTATATGGTTCTGTATAGAACCGTAACAACTGAAGAACCATTTTTGGTGCTATATACACTCTTACAAAAAATTTTTCAAGGGTTCTTTGGTACAGATAATAGTTCTATAGAAAAGCATGAGTACATAAAGAACCATATGTATACTTAAAGGGTTCTTTTCTTCGAGAAAAGCTTTCTTCAGATTGATGGACAGTGTGTTGTTTATAGTTCTGTATAGAACCTTTTTGAAAGTGGTTCTATTATGTCAAGCTTGTAACAACTGAAGAATCTTTTTTGCTATACACACTCTTGATAAAAGATGATTCTTCAAGGGTTCTTTGGAAAAGACAATGGTTCTATATAGAACCATCACTCAAAGAACCATTTGTATGCTTACAGGGTTCTTTTCATCATGAAAAGAGTCTTTAGATTGATGGATGGAATGTGTTGTATATGGTTCTGCATAGAATATTTTTGTGGTTCTATATAGAACCAGAAAGGGTTCTGCTATAGATATGATGTCAAGCCTGCAACAGTAAAAGCAAGCTTGGTCCGATACAGAGCCATTTTCAAACAAGTTCTACTTAGAACCATATACAACACATTCTCCGTTAGCCTGAAGAACCTTTTCACGATGAAAATAACCATGTAAGCATGCAAATATAGAACTCATGGTTCTAAACACAACCATTCCCTTTATTAAAGAACCCTCGAAGTGCCGTCTTCTTTAAGAGTGAGCTCTCTTCACACCGAAGGGCTTGTGGGTGGGGGCGTGGCCTAGCGCACACACACACACACACACACACACACACGCACACACACACACAAAGCGAGTACACTTCTCTCACTACTCTGAGGTGCTTTGTGGGCGTGCTCGTAGCTCAGGCAGCCACGCCCCCTCCCGCACCACACAGGGAGGCAAAACTGGCTGGAGGAGCGCAGCGCTCCGCCACTGCATCGCCGCAGAAACATGAAGTACGAGCGAGCTCCACTCCAGCTACCGACTCAGCAGCAGCTCCGCCACTAGAGCCGTCCACTCTCAGTCCAGCTTCCGCCGAGGAATCTCTCTTTCTGCCTTTCTCTCTCGCCATCGTCCATAACACACCTCGCGTGCCCGGTACCGACAGCCTTTCTCTCTCTCTCTCCTCCATCGCGTCTCTCTCTCTTTCTCTCCCTCACTCTCTCGGCCCTGAGAGAGAGAGACACCCGCCATGTGCGTGGAGAGCGACGGTTGCGAGCTGGAGGCGTGCAGCAGTTCGGATGAAGTCCGCACGCTCTCCGGGAGCATGAGCGAGGCTCTGAGACCGAGCGCGCGGGAGCTGGGCGCGTGCTCTCCGGGACAGAAATGCGGCGCCGCGCTCATGCGCCTCCGCTCCCCCACCGCCGCCGCCGGCATCCTCAGCTTCGGAAACGTCCTCAACTACATGGACCGATACACTGTAGCCGGTAAGAGCCTCTGCGGTTTCTTTCTCCCTTTGTGTGGCGCGTTGGCGTGCGCGCGCGTTCCGGACCAGTTAGTTCCCTCACACAGTGAGGCAGGTAGAGCCGTATAGTGTAAATAGAAGCTGCTGACATAGACGCGACAGGTTCCCTCAGGAAACCGAGTAAAACGGGGGTTTAGTGCTGTCTGTTTATTCATTAGCTGTGCAGTGTGTAAAGGCTCGTGTTCTAAAGTTGCTGACAGACTCGACAGGTTCCCCCAGAGAACGTACCTGGTTTTTAGTGGTCTGTTTTCATATATTACTCACCGGGATGGCTTTTGGGTTCCTCAACTAGAGATACTCATATAGACCTGACAGTTTACTGCAGGAGGCTGATTAAAAGAACAGTTTACCTCAGGAAACTGACTGTTTTTTTAGTGCTATATTCAGATTCTGATGAGTTGTGGTCTCGTCTTTGAAAGTGATTGACTTGGACTTGACAGTTTGCCTCAGGAGAATGATTTAAACTGGATTTAGTGTGGTCTGTTTCGTTCATTACCGCTTTTGGTGGCTTTAGGAAGGGAGCTGATTAAAACCGTTTTTTTGCTGTCAACACTATTTTAGTGTTGTCTGTTTTCATATATTACAGATTTTGAAGGGCTCCTCAGTAGTCTGACAAACCTGACAGTCTACCTCAGGGAACTGATTAAACGGTTTTTAGTGCTGTTTTCATGTATATTCAGATTTGGATGAATTATGCTCTCGTTCTCTGAAGCAATTGACTTGGACTTAGTTTACCTCAGGAAAATGATTAAACTGGCTTTTAGTGTTTTTTTTTTTTTTCATTAGCTTTGCAGTGTTTGGTTCGTGCTCACTGACACACTTGACAGGTTCCCTCAGAAAAGGCACGTAATTAGGCTGTTTTTTTAGTGTTGTGCTTTCATACATTTACAGGTTTTGATTGTTTATGAGTTCCTTCTCTAAAGCAACTGACATGTATTTGATAGTTTACCTGATTAAACTGATTAAAACTGTTTTTCAGTGTTGTCTGTTTTCCTATATTAGAGCTTGCTTTAAAGATTCGCGCTCTAAAGCTGACAGACCTGACAGTTTACCTCAGAAAATTGATTAAAACTGTTTTTTTTAGAGTTGTCTGTTTTCATACATTCACGAACTCTAAAGCTACTGACACAGAATAGTCAGTTTACCTCAGGAAACTGATTAAAACGGAACTGTAGTGTCGACTGTTTTCACACATTGCAGGTATTGATGCCATTAAGTCTCAGGTGATTTAATCACCGACGCTAAGCGGTAAAGAGGGTGAAACATTAACTAAACGACGTGACTGACTGAAAGTTTTAATAATGGCCTGAACGCTGTAGAAAATGAGCTGCTTTTTATTAATGGCGCTAATTGTTCTGGTTAATGCTACTGGTTTATTAAGGAAAAACCTAACAGAGAGGCTCTGACAGTCCAGTGTGAACTAAACGTGCACAGCCCTGTTGTGTCACCGCTCAGCTTATGTGTACAACAGACTTTTAATTTGGCTCCTTTAAACGGCAAAATGAATTGCAGCTTGGAGTTTCCATTCGTGTGAATGAGTTGTACTCGCCTTCTGAGTGTGGGCGAGAACCATTTTGTAGCCTGAGAGAAGCAGGATTCCTACAAGAGTTTCTCTCCTGGCGATGTTTGTGAGCGTTTGTAAAGATTGGCGAGATTTTTCAGTCACTGTTTAATTCATAAAACGTCCAGGATAAATAAGAGAATCACGGCCGTTTTAGTCAGTGAGTTTATTCGGCGCTGGAGCCAATTAGGTCCGGAGGTCTGAAGCTTCTTGGCCATCATTGGTGCAGACAGCCATGTTTCCATAGAAACTAGCCCGGAGTTGGCCAATTACTCTGCATCAAATGCGAGTAAACTTTGCACAGGCGTTTAGGTGCGTTTTGGCAGGAGGTTTTCTCTCAGAAAACTCTTTTATTGTGGTGGTTTTAACGCGTTAACTGACCATGAGGGATGATCTGAGAAGTGGATAATCTCGGGCGACACGTCAGCTGGCGTTTTGCCCTCACACACCCCACCAGGAGCAATTTTCATGAATAACTAATGGACTAATTTGAAAGCAATGAGGAAGAAAAGCCACCATGGTTTGCAGTTGGGCCATCATTTATGAATGCAGGATTTAACCCTGCTATGCCACATGATATTATACACAATCATTTTATTCTATTTTATGAGTAATATGTCTTTTTTGTGTCTGATCCTTCTTTGGGCACTGTGAACTGCAATTTTCTTTTAGTTTCAAAATGACTGAGGGTATAAACATTGAATTATTCATAAATATTTAAAGTAGTGTGTAAATGCATTCGCTAATGGTCTGGCCCAGGCTACCGTCAGGGCTAAACGTTATGTTGCAATGGCAGGGCAAGGCAGCTCTGCAGCGTCCATGCTTGGAGCTTTCTCTCCGCACACTCGGCTTTCTGGACAAGAAGTGGTTAAACACAGCGCTGCAGAAAGAGCGCAGTGCTGCTTAGCAAAGCCCTGAAGGTGCACTGCTGGAGAATAACTAACACATAATGCAGACCCATCAGCCTGAGCCTTACTGCTATAAATGGTTCTAAATCAGCTGTGGAATTAACCATGTTAGTTGTGTGGTCCTATTGTAGTTCATACTTGGAATTCAGAAATATATAACTACATGCTTTTGTAATCCAAAATAGGATCAAGCTTTAGATAACAGGAGTAATGACTAGCTGTGGCTGTAAAAAGGTTAGAAGCAAAGCTTTTTTCCATTTAGCTGGATCCTCTTGGATAGACTGCAGTACTAAAGCACTGAAGATGATCAGAGCAGGCTGAGCGCTGCATTACATAAGATTTCCCCAAGACGATCCCACTGTGAGAATTGTGTGCGCCCGCACTAAACAAAGTGTTGATATACAATTTGTCTTATCCAAGTATCTGAAAGCTGGTCTTGGCTTATCTCAGGTAGTTCAAAAACACAGGCACACAAACTCCTCTCACAGATAAGAATGACGAACGTGGAATGGCTGAAACAATACGTGATGACTGTCCTTTCATTCATTTCATTTCCTTTTGTCTCATTGTTTGTTTATGTAGACTCTGTGTACAGTTTTTTTTTATAATGATATAGTTTGTTGTAGCTCTTTACAGTTTTGGATACTCGTGTAAAGACAAAGGAGAGAAAGAGAGAATGTGGATATGTGTATTGGGGCTTTTTATTGTATTTACTCATAGTCTTTATTCACTATTAATAGTATTTTGTCTTGGCCGTTAATGGAAGCACCAATTTCTCCAAGAGAAAATCATTATATTTGCGAGTACCAGAAAAGCTATTCTGAGGAAGAGAGGTGAAAGAAGGAAAGACGTATAGAGGAGAGAAGGGGAAAACGAGAGAGAGGGATATCGTGTTTATGTATTTATTTGTTTGCTATTTGAATTTTTTGTTGTCTATTTATGGAATTTCACCATTACAGGTTCCTCATATATGTAAGTGTACTTAAGAGAGAGATACTGTGGATATGTATATTTGTTGATATACTTTTTGGCTGTATATTATATTTATTTATGTTTATTTGTTTACTATTAGTATTCTATATTGTTCGTTTACATAAGGACCAGACAAATTTCTCAGATATGCAAGTGTATTCAGCCAGTAAAGTGATATTGAGAGAGAGAAAGAGAGAGAGAGCTGTATGTTGTAGACTGCAGGGAGATTGCAGCAGTAGCAGAAGAAGGTGTGTGAGTGTGTGTGAGTGTAGGCTGCAGCTGTGTAGTACACGCTGTACAGAGCGAAGGGGTTCTCCTCTGCACTTTACAGCCCAGCTCTGCATGCATTATTCATGAGCTGTGTGTGTACATGCGTGTTCGAGCTGACACAGCCGTCCTGCAGTGCTGAGGCTGACCACTCATCGGTCCACATGGTCAGTGAAAACTCCACCCCATCCCTGTTCAGTCGTCTCCACTGCAGTCAGGCTGACAAAAGCATTGTGGAATTGAGCCGTGTGCGCAGGTGTCTGAGATGGGGTTGGAAGAGGGGCTTTAGGGGTAATTTAGAGGTAATCCCGACCTCTTGCCCACATCACCACATTGCTGGGAAAACGATGATGGATTGCCCCGGATAAATAGAGGGGATGTCATCTTTCCGGCTCACCGTGATGAGGTCATATGTGGGCAATTTTTTGTTTGGCTGTGTGTGTTCCTCCACCAGTGTGTGTAAACAGAAGAGCACAAAGACACATAAGTATTCCATCCCCCCCACACGCATACTGCATACAGTCATGTGCAAATCTTGATTTCATTCAAATATGACTCTTCAAGAAACTATTCAGTGAATCATGAATTCTTTTCCAACTATTTCACCATGATTTGATCCAGTTATTTTGGTTCAGTTTTTTAAAAATACACTAAAAACACGAAGTGACTGGAGGAAGGATTTACAATGTAGTGGAATATAGACAATCAGAACAATAGGCTTAGCATTTTTATGTGTTTATATGGTTGAAAATAGCCCCAGAAATGTATTTTGGTCGAACAATGGTTGCATACGTTATTGAAGATTAGGTAACACTTTACTGAAGGGCAGTGTTCATAAAGATACATACATAAGCCTTTCAGAGGCCGAGAATTGACATAAACCTACATAACCTTTTATAAAGGCTTATTTCAACAAGCATCAGTTGTTGTAACACTAGCTTAGGTGAAATGACATGAAAACAGACAAAACCAGCATATATGACAACTTGTCTGTTGGAATAAGCCTTTATAAAAGGTTATGTATTTTTATGTCAGTTCTCAGTAAAAGGTTTATGTAGGTGTCGTATATGAATGTTGCCCTTTAGTAAAATGTTACCAAATATTATTACAGCCTATTCAGTTTCATTCCAACATTCCAAGATCTGTGCAGCTGAATCGCCACTGTCTGTGCATCCTGGTGAACTGATGCATTTTTTCATCTTTAATATTCAGGACACACAGTGGAATAAGCACACACCCACTCTCCTGCTGGCCACGCACAGTCACACACATTGTACATCATCAAGTCCAAAAGCAGTAAAGCTCTTATTGGCTCAAGCTGTTATTTCATACAACAAAAGAAAGCGCTGATGGTGGCCACCAACAGACATTGCCAAAAAAACAAAAACCCTACATGAGATTTTAGCAATTTAACAGTCATATCCCTTTACTGCCCATATTATTTTTTTTACGAGGAATTTCTTCAAAAACTGAGACACTTTACAAGCTGTGACAGCGGCGGAAAAAAAGCAATTAAAGCAGATCCTGCCGCTCCCGCCACTGCAGATCCTGCATGGGGGGATTTTTCCTCAAACGGATCCCTTGGCAGCAGCCAGGTTCTCCCATCTGTATCAGCTAAAACCAAATACAAAATGCAGCCTTAAAAATAAGAAGAAAAAAAAGGAAAAAGGGAAAGTGCATGGAATATCCGTTGTGGCTTTTTGGCCTGTGGTTTTGGCCCAGTTTCTGTGTTTAATTAGTACATGTTAGGGATGAGGGTACACTGAGGTTCTAATTTGGCCCCTGACTGCAAGGATGGTAAACACAACTAACACAAGTCTGTTTTTAGGAAGGAAATGAAGTGTTTTCAGGCTGGTAAAGAAATCGCTGTAGGTTATTTACGTTGTGTGCGTGTTGAGCAGTGAGGTTGGGTGTGTGCTGTGTTTGCCATAATTCGGGCCTGACTGCTTACAGTGTCAGAACAGCCCTTTAGACAGCCCTTGCTTGTCTGTCAGAGCCAATAGTATCTGATAAAAATACCCCCAAGTTTTGATGTCTCTTCATATGAGTATAACATCTCTGTAAAGATATTGTAGCCGTGTACTCTATTAGTTCACTGTAGATATTGGAATTGTGGGCTGTGGCTGAAATCCGCTGTTTTTCATGCCCATATCTGCCGATGCCAATAGTGATACCTAAACATTTATAACAATGCAGAACTTGGGACTAAATTAACCTGAATTAGCACTACAGGGAAATGTAACATGTATTTCTGTAGGGTTACAAATGCAGAAAAATGAATAAAATACTGCCCATAAACATCCTTTTCCAGAGTACTATAAATACATCATCATCAGTTTGAAGTATATGCCAAATCTAAACATCTGTTAATGCAGAAGCAGATAATTTTTAAGCAATTAATTGCTGATATAGATATGATTCCGACACCATCGTGCATCCTTTATGAACTGCCTTGTGTGCATGAACAGCACCTGTCAAAATTTTGACATCACCTTGCTTTTCCAAAGGTTTTTTATGACTTTTAATACAGAATTTTCTTTGTTGGTGTGCAAACGTGGATTTATTTCTTCCACACATGTAAACATTTGTGACAGTGCTACCTTGGGAATAATACCAAAGCCCACACATCCCTCTGTTGTAATGTCAGCAGTAGGGATGCGCACAGATACTTAACCATTTGAGGTGATGTTATTTGAATACTGAAATCACTATTCGGGCATTTGTTACATTTCATTGTGGGAAGACAGACAAAATATACAGGCCAACACTTCAGTGAGATGCCAATTTTATGTTTTAACAAAACTGTAAAATGTGGCAAATTTTTGCAAGTAGTATTTGCAAGTTATAATACACTTTTCTACTATAAATCACAAGTACCTTAACATGGGTGTGTTGCCAAGAATGCGTTGTTAAGGATGTAACTGACAAGGCATTTTGTTTTTTTTTTTTGCTAACAGGGCTAAACCACTTACTCTAGCTCATGTTTGCCAGAAACAGTGAAAATATATTTCTCCAAAAAACTAACATGTTGGCACGTCGTCCACTGAGGAGAAATCCATCAATAAGAACACGACAAGTCCTCTTTCGCATCCAGTGTTGTACCAGTTAGCTGTGTTAGCTTGTCTGAGGCCTCCGTTACTCATCTGATATAAAAACATACCAGTTACCCTCGGCTAGTTTTGAATAATAAAACATGTTTTAACATGTACCCCTCCGTGTGCTGCTGTTTGTGCAACACAACTGCAGGCATCTAAAAAGCCAAGACTACAACCCTACATTAATTTCAGGCAATATCTGATTTTTTTCCCCCTTTTTCGCGGTTATCTGATTATCCAATCTTTAACCGTTACGGATGCTCAACTATCAAAATTAGACAGCAGTCAGAATTAATCACTAAGCACTAATCAACGCCAAAACCTTTGAGGGGTTCAACCTACCTTTGGACCAAAAGTTTCAATACATGCTTTAAACAGTAGACACTGATGAACAGCTGAATGCTACAAAATAGGCCAAAGTATTAATGATAACCTAATGTAGTTTTTGTTTACTTCTTCTTACTTAACTGAAAAGTAAGAGGTCATAAAATTCATTCAAACATTACGTTGAAAATATCAACAGAAACTAAGGTGTCTGCAAATCTCACGAGCTGGGTTTTTTATGTTGTGGTCAGGCTGAGGCAGACATATAGAGAAGTTTTCATGTGTGTGCTTGCAAGACAGATGCAGATTTACGACAGGCTGGCTGATCTGCGCCCTCTGTCCTCTTCATTTCCCCATTGGCCCATTAGAACGATCCCCACTATCGCTCTCTCTCTCCATCACTGCCTCTCTATCTTGCTGCCCGACACGACCTCCAGCAAGGCAGACACATCAAACTGATGGAGCTGAGGTGGCGAACTATTTAACTTGATTACATTTGCGGTTCGGCTCCAGCAGCTTCTGCCCTTTTGGCTGGACCGTCTGCCAGACAGACAACACTGAGCCCCAGATTATCATCCAGACAGGGATTAGAACATCAGAAGGAGGTGCAGACGGAGGCCACTTTAAGTTATTTGATCTATAGACCCCTCATTTCCTCCTATGTAGCCTAGCTGTCACTCTGAAAAAGGCAGATTGACTAGTACTTAAAGCATTATAATCTGGATTTTGGGTTGCAGTAGATTAGGGGTTTCTTAAGGTATCTGTGGAATGAGAGTATTCATTCTCAACAGAGGGCTTAATTAGGCTGGGTGTGATGGCTAATCCAGCAGCCTGAAGAGTTACCTGAAGGAAAAATGGGCAAGTCTTCTGTCTGACACACACACACACACACACACACAAAGAGAAGGAAGGAAGCCTTTTCTCCTTTGTTACTGTGCTTTGCTGCATTTTTCTCCTATACAAGATCATCCAGTCCAACTGCTGTCTCTTATAACACTGCCGCACACTCAGAGCAAACCCCCTTATAGCCATACCTGCATTTACCAAATGTCTTCATTATGAGGAAGAAAAGAATGAAAACCTGTCAGGTCATTATTCATACTAAGGAAGAAGCTGGAATGAACATGAAATGCACCCTAGGAGTAATAAACAGCTGTTCTTGTGTATGGCAAGGTTTTCTTAATCTAAAAGTAACAGCGAAAAAGTTTGTCCCCAAAATTCTGATGGGCAGTGTACACTCATGTTCACACGCTGGCTGTGATCTGCAGTCCTGTTCCTGCTGCAGTGAGTTGAGAGGGCGATAATGCCTATCAGCACCCGCAAGGCGCTTCTCTGTTCTGCACACACATAGCAACACACCAGCAATGTTACGTCACACCACTCACCCCTCCACTCCACTGCCAGAACAACCATGAATCAAGTGCCTCAGTAAGAGTGCTGAACTAAGATCAGCAACAGCTTTATTACTATCCATTATGGCAGTAAAAGCGAGTTAAAACTGTTCCTGAATCAGCACTCAGTGACTTTCCATGAATATGGACCCAGGATTTTTCTTATTTTTGGTGGAAAAAAATTTGATATCATGATGCTAATGTTGGGACTCACTCACGAGCTGTTCATAGGAAGAAATTTCTTCTTAAAACCCACTTATGCAGTTTTCACAAAGATTTTGACATTCACCAATATTTACTTATTTGGGATTTGTTCATAGGTAAGAACGGCATCTACACACTCAAGAGCACAAAGGTACGAACAATTCTGCAGCTTAAAAACACGCCATGAATTTAACATAGACTATTTCTTAGGACCTTCCTCAAGAACAGGTTTAAAAAAAAAACTTAGGAATATATTGGTGAATGAGGCCCATTGTGAATATCTTCATATACGGTATCATGATATTTAGCTTTTCTGAGGCTTGCTAACAAGTTAGACTAGACACAAATCACCAGTAAACAGTAGTGACAAAATGTTAAATATAAGATGATTATCATTTATGTTCAGTGCAATAAGAAACGCAGAAAACTATAACAAATGGCTAAAATAAATAAGACATAATGGCTTAATGGGCTAACATCCAATCAGCTCCTTGTTATTTTTCACTTGTTATTTTAATTCTACAGCTAGACTATATTCACAAGGACATTTTGGTATCTCTTGCCAAAAGGACAGCAGACACCAGCGCATGACAGTGTGTAAAAGCTAAACTTTTGACAGAGCACAGTCTAATTTACCAATGAGTCAGCCAGTAGGAGACGGTGTGGGGTGGGACTTCAGTCAGTCCTGTTGATTTTAAACAACATGGAGGAGAAACTAACTGCGGCTGTTGATTAACATCCAGAGCTGTACAGTACAGCTCTAATGATATAGTACAACATTGACTGCTTTGACTGAAACTTATGTGTTTTTGCTTCCTTTGATAAAAGGAGCAGCAACAGCTAGTAGTGTTTGCTGAGGACCTTTCATGTGTGTATGAGTTTCCTGCTTGCACTGATCTCTGCCCACAATCAACCCACAACAAACCAGCAATGCGTATTTAAATTGTTTAAATTTTCTTTAAATGGATATCTTGTAAACACCACCTTGGTCTTAGTCTGTTTTTATAAAGCAATATATTGTGTAATTTATCATAATAAAGATAGCAATCATATTGTATTTTTTCTTCTTTTTTTGATCTTAACAAATGTATGTATGGCACAGACTGGACAGACAAATTTCCTCTCCTAAGACTAAGAATGTAATCTAAGCTAATATCAACTATTTCTCATCATAGTGAATCAGATCGGGGGTGCATTCCTTCATTATGAAGAGCAAAAAGAAATGTGAAATTGAAAAACAGCAAGAAATAAATAGATAGAGATAGAAAAAGGGAAAAACACACCTAACTGACAACTAGTGCCCACAGAACTGTGAACCAGTTATCAAAGCAGCCGGTTTTTGAAATATCCCAGCTACAAATTGGCAGCCTGAGTCAGAATTAAACTTTGAGGTCGGCCTCAGTCACTTCAGACTTGGCTGTCGCCTCCTACTTTTTCTTTTCTCTCTTTATCTTTACTACCCGCATATTAAAGGGCTCCCAAACAACAAAAGCACTGGAACTGTTAAAAAAAAAGGCTAAGTAATTGAGTTTTATGGAGCTGTCTAGCTTTTCTTAAACCCTCCCCTACAACAAATGGCTTTCATTCCTGCTGAAGTTTATTTCCATATGCCTGCAAATGGTTCTCAAGGCTCAGTAACCCGCTGACTTCCTTTTAGAACTGGGTGTAAAACTTTGGGCTATGGTGCTGTTATACTACTTAATATGAATTTGTATGTTAAAAGCTTAAGTGTGCTTGTATGTCAAGTTTGGATTTTTAATGCTAGCTGCTACTGTAGAAGAATATGCATCAGTGTCTGGGAACAGTTTTGACCTGTTTTCTTTTAATCAGAGCTCTTCCTCCAGTCACAGTTCACTCTGGCTGGGAGATCTTCGTCTTGTGTGTGTGTTTTCGTTGGGTTGTATTTAGCTGACGTTCGGGCCTTGTGAAGCAGGAACGGCTGGAATTAGATGGTGCCTCTTTCCCCCTTTTCCACGACGGGACTTCTCTTGTGGTCGTGGTGGCTATTAGCTTGGCAAGCCACGCTATTTCCGTGACAACCGCCGCTTCCTCTACGGAGATCTAGCCTCGCCCTGAGAGAGAGGGAGACAGAATGGGGAACAGAGTAAAGGAGGGAAGGAAGGAGAGAGAGAAAATGTACTTGTAGAATAACTCATCTTTTGGCCTCATTTTAGGCTTGGCCAGTAAACTGAACAGATATAGCAATCTTCCACCATCACACACATAATACAGGCCATAGGTATGGAAGCAAGCAGTCATTAAAAGAAAAAAAACCAAAAATATATATATATATATGTATATATATATATATATATATATATATATTGAGTCAATTTGTCAACAACAAACACACCCCAATACAGGGATGCAGGAAGTTGTTTTGAGTTGGGGTGCAGAAATTGAAGCATATTTGTGACATATATTGTAACATGCAAAATGATATGCCATTTATACGCCATTTTTTATGCCAAATGAGCTGAATGGTGACTGATTAGATTGTTCATATATGGCACAGTAACAGACAGTGACACGCTCGTAGTCAAACTACATGCTGGAGATTCAACCCCAGAATGCACACTGAGACAGAGATATAATGGTTGGAAAAATTAATGTGGGGCAATTATTACATTAGTTGAATTGTTTTAGTTTAAAAACAATATTAAGCCACTCTGGGGCAAACAACTTACAACTCTGCATAATTTTTACTCTGGACTACACTGTTTATGTTTTAGCAACCCACCGCCCAAAGCTGTCAACAGTTGCTGAGGGAAAGCGATTCAGCTCTGTATAATGAAAATGGAGCATTAATTCTGCACAGCCACTGCAAGTTTTGAGAAAATACAGACTCCCTGTAAAACAAGCACAGTTTAAACAATGCTCAGATAATGAATTTGTGAAAATATTTTTAGCAGTTGCAGTTAGTCCTGAAATCTGGGGGTGCTGCAGCCCCCACAGTGACCCCCACATCTCTTGTCCCTGACACACATTTTTGACGTCTAGTTTGACCAAAGTTTCCATTGGTCTGAAGTGATGTACTCTTACGTGTCATATGAAAAAAACTTTCACGTTTTGTTGATAAGATTTCCTAACTTTTTAATTCTTACAAACTCTTAGTTTAATACATGATTCACTGTATAAAGCTTTCAGGAGCTTTTAAATGTGGGAGCTGCAATAAAAATTTGCAGTAGAATAATTATTTTTTGCAAAGTTAGCATAGCTCCTACATATACACAGATGCATGACAGCCACTGGAAGATATTCCACCCTGTCCTGTTGTGGACATGTATGGCCAAAACCCCCAGCCTCTCAAAGGCTCTGAAGCAGTCTAACAATTCAGTGAACCGTCCTCCAAAAATAAGCCACATTTGAACATTGGCTGCTAGCGTCTTGCTGAAACTGATGTGCGTTTTGTCCAGTATGTTTTGATGAGCTCCTCTTTCACTCAGTCATGCTCTCTAAATGAGGCGCCGCTGTTTCCTTTCCTTCTATAGCAGCGCCCTGCCATGTCTGTTTGAGTTGCGCTGACCCCGATAGCGGGTTTGATGGCTTGCTTTTAGCTCATTGCATGTCCAAACAGATATAGAGCGAGAGTGTCTGCATATGTGTGTGTTTCAGAAAGGCACTTCTCTGATGTGTGTCCATCTGACAGGGTGTGTTTTGGAATGCGTGGCGGCGAGTTTGACGGACAGCTGAGGAACAGGAGAGGGGGCGGACAAGGCGACCCCTGAGGCACACACACACCTGCGTGGTTGGTGTGCCAGAGTATATTAGATCAGTTTCTTCTCACGACTCTTAATGGATCAGAGCTGTACTGACCTTTGACTCCAAACGATGCCTGTAGCACCATGTGTGACACAGACCCCAAATTGGTCCAGTAGGGCCAGAAGCTTAGTTTACGCCTACTGTCACAAGCTTTGTAGTTAAATTTTTCACATTTAGGGTCAGCTAGTGCATTTGTGTAGGAGAAAAAGAGAGGCGGGGGGGGGCTTCACCAGGGGGTGTGTCAAAAACCATGGCAGCACATAGTGTGAACATGACATTTCTGATGTTTCCTACACAAGGACAAACTCAGTAACCCCCATCACCGTTCTTAAAGGAACAGTCTGGCAAAAAAAAGTCCAATTCATGCAATGAAATGGAGTTGATGAGCTATGAGACATGCTTGGTATTCTGCATTTGCATCTTTAGTTTTGCTCTGGAGCTATAAATCAACAAAAGTACAGGCAACATTCAGGCTTCACGTTGCCTGCTGCCTCCTTTTCGTGACTACCATCTGTATAGAAACAAAGTGTCACAAAGTGTTTGAAACCATATTAGCGAGTCTATTTGAGAGTACTTATCAACATGATTTGAGACATGTGTGTGATGATTATGCTAATAGGACTGTATGCTACATTCAGTTAGAACTTGTGACTCAAAATTACCAACCTTCAACTATGAACAAAATTAAAAGAAAACGCTCCGTGAATTTCTTCTTGGAAAGTCGGGATGGTGTTCCCAACTCAAGAGTTCACCCCTTCAAAAGTAGCGCTTCTTGAATTTTGAAATGAAATTTGTTTTAGATCAACATAAAGAGACAGTAGTTAAATCTATCACACTGACTAAAGTTCTCATTTGATCTCATTTGGGGTATGATGTAATTATGTATACCTTTGTACATTTGAAAGGTAATTCAGTCAAATGTCCCTTCTTCTCATCTTACAGAAGGTTGTCAAGTCCCTTGCAGTAGATGCCTGGACCTGAGCCTATATATAAAAATATAAAATATATATATATATATATATATATATATATACACTGTGCGATTTGATTAGATTTGCAGTGACATGAGGGCGGATGATATGTGTGGACAGGATTTATGAGCCGGGCCATTTTTATATAAGCCTACCACACAAGCTCCATAAATACAGCCTCTAAACAAGAAGACATTTGTGGACCAAAAAAATACAGGAATCAAGCTTGGCTTTGTCTTTAAAGTAGCCACTGGAAGCTTTCCACAGTGGCGGTGCTAATATTTAGACTGGCCTTTTCAGCGTGTCTGTGTTTGCTGAGTCTTTATAAAGGAAGGGAACATGTCATCTTTCCTCCCATTCACAAGTGGCTGGGTAAATAATCAACAGTGGGGGTTATGTAATGTGTTTATGCCCCAGCCAAGAGATATCTACATCTGTATATGTGTGGGTGAGTATATGTATTTTTTAAAACTATGCATCTGTTTGTATGGGGAATTTATCGTCTTGCAGTTTTCTGACCTCAGTCGTGCCTTCACATTTTTGTTAGTGTACAGTACTGTGCAAAAATCAGGGACCAACCTTCATGAAGAGGTCAAACCAATCCTTGCACAATGGCCCCTCATCAGATATGACTCTTCTCAGTTTAAAATCATTCAGATGTTGTCCAAAAAAGCGTTAATGAAAAACACATTGCCTACACAATTTGGGTACATCCGTGTGCATTTGTCTGAAGGTGTGTGTTCATGGAACAGAGTGTCATTTTGTTTCTATTGGTGAACACATCGCTGTGTATAGGTGCGTATAATTACACGTTATTAACTCTTCCACATCAAGTTTAAATTCTGGCAATGTGACGTCAAAACCAGTATCACTTCATTACTTGGTCATGATGCTGAAGATGGTTGCTGTCCACCTCTGCTCTATTGTTCTACAGCATTACAGACGGGTGTGCACTGGACAGACTGGCTTACACTGGGGTGTAATATCTCAGGCTGGACAGTCACACCTCAACTTTCCTCCCTGCTTGTATTATTTCAGCATTCCACTGATTCTTTAACTCAACAGGTATTTACTTGGCAATTTTAGAAAGTGGATACAACTTCCATTGTCTGCACATCTAAAAAAGCATGATGCAGGAACACATTAGTATGGGAATATTTCATAAAGCAGGATTTCTCAGTTAGCCAGATAACCTAAGCCCAAATTCAAGCTTCTACAATAGAATAGCTAATAATAAGAAGAAATATTAACATGTATGTATGTATATAGTACTTTTCACAATCACAAGTAAAAGGATGTCCTTACTTGAACCCTAGACATATGATTTAGTTGGTTATTAAGACATAGTTATTCATTTTAAGATATATTATCCAGTAACTATTACAAATTATTTGGTAACCATTATAAAACGTAAGTGTAACTTAGATATATTAGAAATTAAAGCCTAGGGCTACTGGTTCAGAGTTCAAATCACTGAGTCTTAGTGAAATACCTTTCTATGCATGCTTAATGAGTAAACTTCCACAGAAAAACAAATACACCAACACACGCACAAAAAAACTTTTTTTTATCATGCTAAATATTCTCAACGTGAGAATATTACACGTCTGTAGGTGAGCAGTTGGGTTTTTTCTTCCGTGAAGGTGTGTTGCGTTCGTTCTCACAGCTGCGGAATGCAGCGGCGGCAGTGTTTGGAATGCATCAGGCGACGTTTTTGTTTTGCTTTCCCACACAGTCAATTACCTCTAATCTCCACTACCTTCCCACCCATAGTCTTCGCTACAAAAAGACTTTCATCAGTCCAATATTCAGACCAAGTGTCACAGAGCATATCTAAATATAAACAACGTGTTCTGAAAACCACACCCGCTCTCTGCTGCCTGTCATCCTGTCATTCCAACAATGTCCTACCAATGTTCTTTCGTTTTTTTCCGGCAGTGAAATATTAGAGCAGATCATCTTCTACAAGGAAAAGAAAAAACCTAAGACACGTCTCTGTGGCACATGTCCCACGGTACAGAGTTAAACTATAACAGAAGAAAGATGAGCTTTATCTCTAATTCATGAAGGGGAAAGAGAGATGAATGGCAGAGCTGGAGCCGGGCCCTCTGCTGCTTGACACGAGGGCACAGCAAGTGGATCGAAATAGTACTTTCCATAGAGAGGAAATAGATTTAACAAGAAGGGAGTGTGCGCTTGTGTTGACTGGGGTGAGGTGAAGGTTTATGGGGCTACAGTCAATTACATCTACTATAGTAGCCCTTGCCTGTACCCCACATATGTTTCTAATGTGGACGTGGATTCCGCTTGGGCCCCTTCTGAAGCATATGTGCACATCT